AAATTAATAAAATACCAGTTTTGAAGGTATCCATTTGACTCTGCTGTTTTTATTACTAAAGATTAAAGAACAAATGCTGACCTCTGACTGCAAATATTTCCACACATTGGCAAAAAAAACCAGTGTTTGGGATCCGAAGAGAAAAGAAAAGAGAAAATCTATAAAAAGGGAAATTGAAATCCAACACACTTTAAATGGCTGCACAAACAGGTATGATATTCTATTAATCTTTCCTTTAATGAGAAGCTATTACCAAACAATTATCTTTATCTTTCCTTTAATCATTACATATATATCAAAGAATGTTAAAGAATTCACACCTGATAAAAACCCATGGTGAGGGTGCTTTTGTTGGGGTTCAGTTTTTTTTAACCTCTGCCTAATCAAGATTTAGTCCTGTACAATTTTGTGTACTCCAGCTGAAAGAACTTGCTACAGTGTGAAATGTTGGCTTATAATTACTTGTCTTATGTCTCCACAGCTGTGCATTATTATGATCATAAATTAAACATGCATATCTGTAGTTTTTTATCCACAGTCAACTACATCTTATTAAAAAGGTTTTAACCCAGGTGTAAACAGCAGTCAGGGTGGGCTGTATAAGGTGTGATGGGCATGAACACTGGTTCTACAGTGGTTTACAAGCTAGAAAAGTCAGGGTGGGCTGTATAAGGTGTGATGGGCCTGCACACTGGTTCTACAGTGGTTTGCAAGCTGGAGACACCAAACCTGTAAGGCGTCTTTTAAAGTATGATGTACAACCCACAGCTTATGTATATAAATAGCATAACCTGATTTGGTTGATAAGAAAAGTTTATTATACAAAAAGAATGTACACCAGTGTTACGTCATGAATGACAACCTGCCATTGAAATAACATGCTGAAGTCTGGTTACCTGGAAGCACCTGGATAATTTTACATACACCTATTACATAAAAAACAACTTTTTATAAACTTGACCTGCCGCCGTGAAGTATTCTATTTATAGTCTATTCATGCTTGTATTGAAGTTTGTCATGATCAGTTACACATCGACGTCACATGAAGATAAAGTTTAGGGACAAACAATTGTACATTAGTTTCTCGTACATACCGAAACGATGTCACAGGAAAATGGCAGCACGTGACATGTGCACAAGATGTTCCAACGCAGAGGCCATTGTATATAGGAATTCCAGGTTCGGGCGACGATATCGTGCTCACTCACCTGTAGCGAAATGAAAGTACGGGTCATGCGTGGTGACAACCTTTCACCTACATCACAACAGTTTAAAAATCACTTTTACTTATACACGAAGTGTAATACCTGTCTCTCATTGTTGGGGTGTCTGTCTCATTGCCGGGGTTTCTGTCTCATTGTCGGGGTATCTGTCTCATTGTCGGTGTTTCTGTTTCATTGTCGGGGTATCTGTCTCATTGTCGGGGTATCTGTCTCGGGGAATCTGTCTCATTGTCGGGGTATCTGTCTCATTGTCGGTGTTTCTGTCTCATTGTCGGGGTTTCTGTCTCATCGTCGGTGTTTCTGTCTCATTGTCGGGGTTTCTGTCTCATTGTCGGGGTATCTGTCTCATTGACGGGGTTTCTGTCTCATTGTCGGGGTTTCTACCGTTATCACTATTACAATTGTCCGTCAAAAAGTGTCTGTCTCGTTGTCGGGGTTTCTACCGTTAACATTATTACAGTTGTTTGTACAAAGTGTCTGTCCCATTGTCGAGGTTTCTACCGTTAACATTATTACAGTTGTTTGTACAAAGTGTCTGTCCCATTGTCGAGGTTTCTACCGTTAAACACTATTATCATTGTCCGTCAAAAAGTGTCTGTCTCATTGTCAGGCTTCGCACCGTTATGAACTATTGCAATAACCTGTCTCTGTGAGTAAGGAGTTCCCCGATCTATAACAGATATATCTGAGTGAGGAATTCCCCGATCTATCACAGATATATCTGAGTGAGAAGTTCCCCAATCTACAACAGATATATCTGAGTGAGGAGTTCCCCGATCTATAACAGATATATCTGAGTAAGGAGTTCCCCGATCTATAACAGATATATCTGAGTGATAAGTTCCCCGATATATCTGAGAGAGGAGTTCCCCGATCTATGACAGATATATCTGAGTGAGGATTTCCCCGATCTATAACAGATATATCTGAGTGAGGAGTTCCCCGATCTATAACAGATATATCTGAGCGAGAAGTTCCCCGATCACAACAGATATATCTGAGTGAGAAGTTCTCCAATCTACAACAGATATATCTGAGTGAGGAGTTCCCCGATCTACAACAGATATATCTATAACAGATATATCTGAGTGAGGATCTATAACAGATATATCTGAGTGAGGATATAGTTCCCCGATCTATAACAGATATATGTGAGTGAGCAGTTCCCCGATCTAGAACAGATATATCTGAGTGAGGAGTTCCCCGATCTACAACCGATCTATAACAGATATATATCTATAACAGTGAGGAGTTCCCCGATATATCTATCTATCAACAGATATATCTGATATATCTATAACAGATATATCTGAGTAAGGAGTTCCCCGATCTATAACAGATATATCTGAGTGAGGAGTTCCCCGATCTATAACAGATATATCTGAGTGAGGAGTTCCCCGATCTATAACAGATATATCTGAGTGAGGAGTTCCCCGATCTATAACAGATATATCTGAGTGAGGAATTCCCAACAGATATATCTACAACAGATAGATATATCTGAGTGATCTATAACAGATATAGGTGTTCCCCGATCTATAACAGATATATCTATAACAGATATATCTGAAGAATTCCCCGATATATCTATAACAGATATATCTGAGTCCCCGATCTATAACAGATATATCTGAGCGAGAAGTTCCCCGATCTACAACAGATATATCTGAGTGAGGTGTTCCCCGATCTATAACAGATATATCTGAGTGAGGAGTTCCCCAATCTACAACAGATATATCTGAGTGAGGAGTTCCCCGATCTACAACAGATATATCTGAGTGAGGTGTTCCCCGATCTATAACAGATATATCTGAGTAAGGAGTTCCCCGATCTATAACAGATATATCTGAGTGAGGAATTCCCCGATATATCTGAGTGAGGAGTTCCCCGATCTATCACAGATATATCTGAGTGAGGAGTTCCCCGATCTACAACAGATATATCTGAGTGAGGTGTTCCCCGATCTATAACAGATATATCTGAGTAAGGAGTTCCCCGATCTATAACAGATATATCTGAGTGATAAATTCCCCGATATATCTGAGTGAGGAGTTCCCCGATCTATCACAGATATATCTGAGTGAGGAGTTCCCCGATCTACAACAGATATATCTGATTGAGAAGTTCCCCGATCTATAACAGATATATCTGCGTGAGGAGTTCCCTCTATAACAGATATATCATTTTAGATCAATTTTCAGTTCTTTAGTTTCCACTGCCGTGTCCATTAGTCTTTGTTGAAGGGAGACAACCATTGTAATATTGTATTCAAACTAATGTCCATTGAAGTTTGACGATATACGTTGAAAAAGGGCCACAGTCTTTGTTTGTCTGCCTTTATGAAAAGCTGACAACAGGTAACTTATCTTATATACAAATACTGAGGTTAAAAATAATGAAGTTCTTTAATACCCTGTCGTTACGGCTCTGGTGATTTCAATGCCGAGTTTATACAAGTACAAACAATACTTTTACCAACTCCCATTACAGCTTTAGTGTAAACAATACACCTGCACATTCTCTAAAGCACTTTCCTTTTTCACAATAGCTATAGATTCTTCTGTCACTGTCCATTTCGTTAAATGTTGTAAGCAGCTCTGCTAGTTATAATACTCTTAGTTTCTTGTACTGTAAGATTTGATAAGAACTTCTGGCAATGTTTCATAATACGGATATTTAAATATAAAGAGGAATTCATCTTCAATACCCGCTAGATTACAAACATAATCCGTTTCTACGATCAATATTATATTTCTGTTTTTTTCTCATCTTGTCCAAAGACAATTATTAGATACTGATTATCAGCTGCTTTCTTTAGATAGATAGTGAATATGTAAGTCAAATCTATGGTATATGTGTTTAAAAAGAAGGCCTTCTCTACAAATATTTCTCTAGGCACTCCTGTCTAATTACAAGTATCTATGAGCCATTCCTAGATTATCCGAAAAAAACATCTTTCGTTCACTTCCCTTACAACCCAAATATGTCCTAACCCTATTATATTTGACCCCTGTTTTATATTGATCAACCATTATAGCATATCTTTAATATACAATTTTCCGTATTTTTAATCTTTACCACTTACTAGCATTTATAAGAAACATTATTTAAATATGATTTAACATTATACGTTATGGACGCAAGCTAGGAGCCTCCATATCCACATCAGTATATACAACAAGAATTCACAATATAAGATACTTCGTGTGTTTATTTTAAATGGTACGTCAACGAACTCTGACGATAAAAGATGACACATACCGATAGAATCGGCCAGGCACCAACTAGATCATCGTTCTTAACATAAACATAAAGAATTTCTTAACCTTAAATTTCTTATAGGAAAGCATTTCATTAATAAGTGAACTTTCTTTATATTTTTCTTAACTAACGGCATGTTTTCTATGCGATTTAATATTTCATTTAATTAATGAAGCTTGGGCCAGTATTACTACATCAGTCTTTGTTTTGATTTGCTACAGTTGAGACAATGACAACATTGTACATATATGTTTATAATACAACCTTATGTGTGGAAACCGGGAGTTAGGGGACGGAATCCGGGAATAAGGGAACGGGAACCGGGAATGAGTGCCCCACCTCCACCAACTTCCCCTAGCCCAAACGATAAGGACACAAGAAAAAAAATCGCACATACCGGCTACTATCTACCTACAATTTTACTAAGTCCTACCTTGTTTTATTTAATGCATTCGTGCGTGGATTAAAGTAAAATAGTGTTTCCGAGAGAGAGTTATCGCCCCTAGAACACTCAACATGGCAGGTGCCCGGTTGCCACCGGAGAAGCTCAAGCATGCTATGTCACTTTCTAGGGTGAGTAGACTTGTTTCCTTCTTATTTTTAATACTGTACGTAAGTATCAGTATCTATTTAACTCACAAGGGTATTCTAATGATAAAATGGTAGGTATATTCAAACAACAGTTCTACATTGCTGGCTGGGCTGGACAGCACGTAGTAAATGTGACTTTGGATCTTATGAAGTGAATTGAACTGGATAGAGTACTGACAGTTTTTCTCACACCATAAGACATATTCTGAAAGAAACATTTAAGTTTATCTCATTTAGGATGAAAACACTTCACATGTTGGCTAACAAAAGTTGGACAAAGGTCAAGCTTGTTTTTTTTCATGGGAGTTACTTCCCTTGTGCTGTTCTCTAACTTAGACTTACATCTTTGTAATTTGTAGTTCCTGTTGCGGTCCCAGGTCCTGAAGCTGTACAGAGATATGATGAGAGTGGTGTACAACATACCAGACCCCGCCCAGCGGAAGGCTCTCAAAGACTTCATCCGGCACGACTTCGAGTGTAATAAACATGTCCAGGACGAGGTAAAGAGATGTTGTTACTGTTTTGTTGTTTTCCGCCTCTTCAGAACGTTTCAGTTTATACAAACGACACTTACACTTCTAAAAAAAACGTCGATAACTTTTTAACTTAAATGAAACTTTATATGTATTTAAACATTAGTTATCAAAAATTTAACTGAACTTAATCATCTATTATATGAAAGCATTTTTTAATCTTTATTTTTGCTACTTTTATCTTCAAGATCTGTTCTCTTTGTATATTAATGCATTTTTTATTTGTAAAGTCATATGGGCTGGATTATCCATATCTATATAGTGGTATCTCACTTATCCAGGTCTGATTGGTTTATGTAATGCCAAAATTGGACCGCTGCAATCATTGTACAACTGTACAATTGTTAAATGGCAAAATGCAATATAGATGTATGGTAGATAGTAAATATTCTCTGATTGTCGTTTTTATGTTACAGGAGGCCATTAAAATGCTTTTAAGTCAAGGGAAGATATCTCTCAGAGAGCTTGAAAATACTGTTCCAAGGGGAAAATGAAAGCTACTCATAATCCGGATTGCTTTTAAAAGATACAGGTCTATTTTAAGAAGTTTTCAGCAGGTTCCTACAATACATATCAGTGTAAAAACAGACAGAAGTACTGTCCAGTCACAATACAATACTGCCGGATACAAAATGAGGTTCTGGCCAATCACAGTATTCAATATGGAATTCATTGATGTTGAGGTTAGGCTCAAAATGGAAAAGACGGAATCGGCTCTCCATCCCTGGAATCATCCAAAGCGTGATGAGTGTTTTCTCTTGAAGGAGAAGAGCTGACATTTAGTTCTCTGGATGGGAAAGAATGTATAAAGAGGTTGAAATAAGTGAAAAACAGATTATCTCCATCAGCAGGGACCAGTCTAGGTTAATTTTGCTACCGATACTGAGTAGCTTCCCTAGCAGCTAAACTGACCCTCTTACAGTATGTTACCCTTGAATCTTACAATATATTCCATATTATACAAAAATTACTGTTTTAACTGTTGGATTTTCCTATTTCAACAGAAATTAAGTTTTTGATCTTTCAGTATTATTTTTTTTTTTTTTTAGAATTTGATGGATCTTTTATATTCTCAATTTTAGAAAAAGAATATTACATTATTCCAAAGTTGTTTGAACAATCAATCACAAACTGCTGAAAAACTGTAAATTGTTTTCAGCCCAGGAAGCATCCTCCTTAGGCCCTTTGGAACTCAGGCTATTTTCCCCTAGTCACGAAATGGGAATGTCCTAGATTGATCCCTGATCAGGGTAAGATATTGTGGTGCTGTTTTCATAATCACTTAGATGTTATTATGTGGTATAAGAGTGGGTATGTGTTTAGTGGTATTTTTTTCTTTACAAGTTTTGAGTGGTGAATGTGAAAAGCTGGCTTGTTGAAGAAAAAGAATTACATTTCAGAATTAGTTTGAAATAGGACAATTTGTATTTTTTTACCTTTGATGTATTTGGTTCTAGGTATGATACAATGTAATTCAAATTATCTACCTATACAGTTATGTGGCAATGTTTCTGTGGTAAATATGTCATCACCACAGTTCATTGTAAATTGTATATTATGTTATATGTTCTACATATCCTGAAATTTTGATGGTCATTTCTGTGTTGTTTTTGTCAAGTTTGAATAACATATTTTATCAATAAAAGTTTATTTTATAAAGATTTTAATATTTTATTGCACATTCGTAACTTTCTTGACATTTTTCTAAGAATGGCAATTCGTGTCTTTGAACCTGATGCCTATTTTTCAAATCAGTGTATAAAACCAGCCTTTTTCAAGTCAACGTACTGGATGTTCCCAGCTGCCAGTCCCAGCATAGTGATAGGAGATGGTTTCCCTGACACCGGTCCCTTTGTGATTTGTATAAGAACAAAGAGATATTGGTGTTTAGGATTTATCAAATGATCTACCTGAAGTGAAAATTGTGGATATTTTCATCAATCTGGGTATAAAACTTACGGTCAATTACAGATTCTACCCAAGTACAGAAACAATTATCTGACCAGGGACAAAAATAATGCTTTCTCTTTTTTTATTTCAATATTTCAATGTTATTTGTGATATGTATACATATATATGTATATGTATATTACATTAGGCATTTAAAGTTTGGGAATCCTCTGGAGGTGTGGCTCTGGAAATGATACCGTTATTATTTTGTAAGGAGATTTTAAAATCTAGAAGTTAGGTAATGGTGTATCTTGAATTAGGTAAGTGTCTATTTAGGATGTTATAAGGAAGTATAGAATGATAAAATACTGTTTTAATCTAATGGATTCGAAAAATTGTGTATTCCTTTTAAACTATAGTAATAGTTTTACTGAGTGAATTATGTTCAGTATGTCTTTTTTTCTCTCAGAGAGACAATTTATAATATGTATTTTGTTTATAATTAAGCAATGGATGTTTGATAAGGGTCATCAATACATGAGAGGACTATTAGAGGCTATATCTAAGTGTATACTATAGAAGTATTGACTCAGCAATACTACCTAAGTTAACTTCTACAACATATCAAATCTGTCTATATATGTCTAAGCTTTCCAGCAGGATTTAGCAAGTCGAGCATGTCAGATACAATAATATAGCAAGGGAACAAAGACCTTGTATGAGTTGTAATTTAGATGTAGAAGATGGATATCATTTTATTTTGGTTTGCAGCAATTATCAAAAGCTAGGAGTAAGATATGTACAACCTATTTTACCGGCGAAAGCCTACCATGTATTAACTTTTACAATTACTATATGTTAATAGTAGAAATGATCTTCGTAAAGTGACTTGGTACATATTAGAGACTTGAAAAGTATAATTACTTACGAAATAATAATACATGTATGTATATGCATGAATTATTGGGTATGAGAATGATTATTATGGAAATAACATGATGATGATGATGATGATGATGATGACGATGACGACGATGATGATGATGACGATGATGATGATGATGACGACCACCACCACCACCACCACTAAATGGACATTATGTAACATCTTATGTAAATTATATTTATCCAATAAGTTGTAAAACTTGAGAAAAAAGAATTGAATTCATTCTCCTCTCTGAAATGAAGCAAAATGCTCTGGGTACTGTATATCTCCCATACAGAGTCAAACGAAGGGCAGTAACTCTGAGAGATCAGATTGTGTGTCTCCCTGGTACAACCATCACTGGACTTTTTTTGGTTTTAAAACCAAAATTCATGACCAAATCTCCTGTAGTTGCACCAACAGGCATACTACTAGTACCCTTTGAGTTAATATTATATAGAACGAACAAAAATTAAAACACTGAAGATAACAGAAAGAATAAGGACACTAATCCAAACCAGTTTTCTATAACTTTAATATTTTGTAAAATAATGGATTGTGTAGCTGGCATTTAACAGAATGAAGAAGTTTATGGCTCAGAAATCTCGATATACACAAACTTTCTGATTATAACTATGATGAAGCTGTTTATGAGCTATCATATATGGCACTGATGTAACATCATAATTAAAAAAATCATCATATTGTACAACAATGTGACGTCATACACTCCAAACAATTGGTACAACCAGGGACTTATAATACAGTATTATACAGTGTACGTCCCTGGTACAACATTATGAAGTAACTCATATCAATTATAGATACAAAAATTTGACATCATGCACGTGAATCTCAAAAGCGTATTAATGTATGGCCATGCACACGATCATACTCAGAATATCAATATAATACACACGATCATTTACCGGAACAAGCTTAGGCGTCATACATACGAACATTCAAAACAACCAGGTGACGTCATACACAAGAACATGAAGATCAACAATGTGACGTTATACACACGAATATTCATAACAAGATGACGTCATACACACGAATAACAAAAAAAATGTGACGCTATACACACAAACTAAGCATTAGAATGATGTTATTTCCTTCATAAAATCAATTACAACGATGTGTCTGCATTCACACCATTGATTAACCAATTGTCAAGGCAACATACGACACATATCGGACTGAAACGTATGAGTATTTAACCTGAACACAGATAATTGATATTGTCTCCATTTAAATAAATCTTTACTAATATGTGAAGTGTAAGCACGTCTTGTAACAAGAATGATGTTCATTATTATTTTTATTCTATTGTGATTATAACATATGTTTATATGATAAAGTACAACAGATTTTTACGTTCAGTACCAGTTAACGATCTAAAAAAACTAATGATCGACTTGGGAAGCTTCATATAAGGCCTTTCATAAGCCTCGAGTCCGACTACATGATATAGACCACAACTGATACAAAACCTATGGGAGTCTAACATGGGACCTCCCTAGGTCATCACCCTCGACCTCCCAAGGTCATCACCCTCGACCTCCCCAGGTCATCACCCTCGACATTATAATAATGCATGTATATAATGCTATGTTATAATAATCTTAGCTACGTGGTTTGATTGTCGCACTTGAAGCATTAAAACATGCTTATTTCAAACTTTTTTCCAAAACAAATGGATGCCTTGGATGGACCGATACGGGACGGTACAGAAAGACATGTTCGACCGAGTATATTGAAGTTCTCTAAGGAGAGTGCTTCGCAATGAAATTTCCTTCCAAAAATGAAGTTGAAGAGTTCCACCATCTGATTCATATATCCCTTCACACTATTTTCGAAATAAGCTTTTAACCTAAGGTACAGAGAGTTATTTCGTTCCCAGGATCGGGATTGTCACGAGGTCGTCTGTTGCTGTTGATAAAATCTTCAATCATCTCGGTGCAAGGATCATCAGACTTAGAATCTTCGGCCGGTTTCATCACCACCATACATAACAGTAACTATCATCTTTGTAGAGACAAGACTTAACTTTCGTTCCGTCACTAGTCACGCGTTCAGCTCTTCCAGTTCCGGTATCGCCTGTCGCGTCCGTGGTTATTCCTACCACCTCTACTATTTTTCCGGTTTCTAGCCCTTCCGTCTCTCTGCATCTTTTCTTTTGATGAAGTGGACCGCTGATGACCTCTGCGTCTACCCTTATCGCTATTAGATTTGTTCGCGTCTGCTATCTGCGATTCCCACTTGCTAAAGACTTCCTGATCAAACGTATTTTTATCCCTGGTCTGGCGTGGCACAACATTGCTGTCCCGATTATGAGTACCTTGAGGAACAGAACTTAAAGTATTGTCCATATCAACCCGCGCTTTGTCAGTATTTGTATCACCATTATCGCCGGCATTTTCTTTGAATGCCCGTGTACAAATGCTAACGTCACAGTATCCCCATGTCTCCTTCAGTTTGTTAGTGAAGCACCATGGACGGTTTCTCCTGCGGGACATGGGGTTCCGACAGAAGTTGTGAGGTCCAATCCCATCCTTATCCTCTTCAACGGCATCCGAGTCGACAAGTTTGTGGTCGTGGGGATAGTGGGATGTCCAGTTTTGACAAGTGATGCCGTCTCGTGTGTGATCCAACGTCCCACGGTAGTCCCGCCCATCAGGATGATCTCCCTTGATACATTTACCTAAAACACAACACGAACATGTTAATTATGCTGAATATTCTCAAGCTTTCAGATGGTATTCTTTTCTTTACTTTCGGGATTATACCTCCATTGATATTGTGTTGGTAAACAGCTCTGACACTATACTGATCTTTCCCGGACAATACAATCAAAGAAATGTCCCCCGACTACAAAGACCAAACCATAACAGGTTTGTATCAACACTAACATAGCGATCATGTATATGTTATTCTCATTCTACTATCTGTGACGTCAACATAGGTAACATACTGCCACAAAATGATGTGACGGAGAAGCAGGATCAACAATACTGAGGTCAAGGATGCACGCGGCCATATTCATCTTAAGTCATGATGTTATCAACGTCTGACAATGCCTCACAAATCATATACCTATATGATATACAGTACATTTTTATACGCATTAGGACTTACGTTTGGCGGGTCTCTCGCATATGTAGGAGTAAGCATATTTCGGAAGTTGTTTGGCCGATCCTACCCAATCTCCTTTCCATTCCAAGTTATCTGTCTTTGCGTTCATCCTTAGAACTATGGAGGTGTACCTTTTAGGGTCAAAGGTGAACCAGTCTGAGCGGAAGTCAAGTTTACGTAGGTCGTCGACACCTCCCTGGTCCCAGTAGAATGTACCATTGATACGACGTCCACCCGTGCGCCAATTCCTTATGTTGGGGAAATTTTGCTTGATGTATTTATTGAGGAAGTTGTTTTCGTATTGATTGTCTACAGCCACCAGGTGGCCATTGTATCGCTGACATTCCTTCTGTGCTCCCGCGAACTGCTTTCTGGGACCTCGAATAAACTGGTAACAGCTAGTCTGGAACTTTACCCAATCTTTAGGACAAACTGAAAAATAAACGTTACTATTAATTCTCCCTCGCACAATATCACAGGAGCTTTTAATTGACCAATCGATACAAACACTTATACCGGATCTGTCTCTTTTAGGTTCCACATGTATTCACTCTTTCGCTACCGGTACCAATTCTGAATAAAACGCTTTCAGTTATACATTTCAGAAGTTACACGTCAGAGGCGTAGCAATAATGTATGCTTGTATGCTTAAACATACACTCGAATTCCATTGAGATATATATGCCCTACTTTTTAAACCTTACTGCGCCCCTAGACCCCCTTAACCGGGGCTTCGCCCTTGGATCCTCTCTTGAAAGCATACACTCTTAAAAATGTTTTCCTACGCCACTGCACGTGTAAGACTTTAATATTCTATGCTTACGTAATACACCTAAAATTGTAGCAAAATTGACATACAAATTGTTCGCGTTAGAAATGTAGAAATGCCTCCTGCTCTTGTTTCAATGTTTGTGCATGAACAGAGATATAAAAGTTATTATCCTGTGTTGCTTGACCCCTGTACTATCGAGAGACTCATAAAGATATACCTGTCTCATTCTTGTCCTGTTTTTGGTTGCAGAAATACATATCCTTCAGCTGAGCGATGTCAATTTCACTCATTCCATCCCTCTGACCAATGGTCAACTTCATGCTCTTCCCAACACCAATCACCTGTAAATAGATATAATGAGCATACTCAGTGGTGTGGAGACCGATCGGTTGTTTTACTGTGATATACTCAGTGGTGTGGAGACCGATCCGTTGTTTTACTGTGATATACTCAGTGGTGTGGAGACCGATCTGTTGTTTTACTGTGATATACTCAGTGGTGTGGAGACCGATCTGTTGTTTCACTCTGATATATTGCGACAGTATAGCATCTGATTCTGGGTTCCACAGAGAGAGAGAGAGAGAGAGTACAGTATCTCCAAATGACAGTATAATACCAAGGCTGCTGATGTTAACTTGGACTGTTTCAGTTTGTACTGTATACATCTGACGTAGTGATACAAGATCTGCGGTGCTATTTTAGCTGTTGTGCTGTATGAGAGGACATTTTCTCAACGTTTATATTTTGACATTAACCATAATCTGCAGGACATCCAGTTTTTCATGAAAGGCATTATGTGCTAATGGGGTGAGATTTATGAATGTATAACGTCTAAATTTCTAAATTTCCTCCTTGGATTCTTGATCACGTGAAGTCAAAGTAATAATGACAACGACAACTTACCCTGATCGTTTTCCCGCCATTGTTGGTGAACGTTCGGTCCTTGTAATGCATGATACTTTTATAGTCATACGGAAACCCTCGGGGTTTAGACAACGTCTCGTTGATCGGTAAGAAATCTGGTACGTAACGCGGGGAAATGTTGGGATACACTATCTCTACATAGTCGTCACGGTCCGGTCGAGACTGCAGAGGAAGAAGGTTAGTGTCAGACAAGTGTAAAACAACCATTACAACCCAGCGTAATGTTTTAATCTGAATTAACCCTGTACAGTCCTTACAATCTAGCATAATTTTCCTGGAAACTCGAGAAACATAGGTCTTCGAGTTTATATTGATGTACATTAACTATTTAAGAGAAACCATGGAATTTGGAATACAAGTACGCTCAAAGTTTCTCACGAATCTGCACATGATTATGCAAGGTCATGGCGAAACATCTGTCTCCATTTTGACGATAAACTTGAGATGTGTTTTATACATATATAGTCCACATGGCGTCCAATTAAACAACCCATCACTTAAATGATTACTTTTCCACGCGCACCTGTCGCGGTAGAATGCACGAAATGATGAATATTTTTTTCTGTGGAGGTCGGTTTGTTTTTAGAACTAGTCCTTAGGGGGCTAAGATCATGAATATATGTTAAATATGATGTTAGAAGTTTTTAAATCTGTTTAAATACTTAGCAGAGTCAAAATCTTATGCTACCACCCACAGTCTCCCTTATTTTAGCAGTAGTTGATCTGTCCGCCCGTCCGTCCGCCCTTATTTTTCCGACCTTGTTTAACCTGTTGACTTCAGTGCTCTTTCATTCATTTTACAAACGACAGTGTTATGAGAAGCAATGCTGGGATTTCCGCCCCAATACCCTCAGTCCCACCACCAATACCCCTCAGTCCCACCACCAATACCCTCAGTCCCACCACCAATACCCCTCAGTCCCACCACCAATACCCTCAGTCCCACCACCAATACCCCTCAGTCCCACCACCAATACCCTCAGTCCCACCACCAATACCCCTCAGTCCCACCACCAATACCCTCAGTCCCACCACCAATACCCCTCAGTCCCACCACCAATACCCTCAGTCCCACCACCAATACCCTCAGTCCCACCACCAATACCCCTCAGGCCCACCACCAATACCCTCAGTCCCACCACCAATACCCCTCAGTCCCACCACCAATACCCTCAGTCCCACCACCAATACCCTCAGTCCCACCACCAATACCCCTCAGTCCTACCCCCAAAGAATCAGTATCACTCCTCTAACACAAACCTTCCCACAGCAATGGAATCAGTGTCACTCCTCCAACACAATTCATCCCATCCCAAACCCCAGCCCACTACACACCATCCTATCCCTATAGACAGCTATCCTAACACCCCAGCTCCCTACACATCATCCTATCCCTATAGACACCTATCCTAACACCCCAGCTCCATACACATCTTCCTATCCTTATACACACCTATCCTAACGCCCCAGCTCCCTACACATCATCCTATCCTTATACACACCTATCCTAACGCCCCAGCTCCCTACACATCATCCTATTCCTTATACACACCTATCCTAACACCCCAGCTCCCTACACATCATCCTATTCCTTTAGACACCTATCCTAACTCCCCAGCTCCCTACACATCATCCTATCCCTATAGACACCTATCCTAACACTCCCAGCTCCCTACACATCATCCTATTCCTTTAGACACCTATCCTAACTCCCCAGCTCCCTACACATCATCCTATCCCTATAGACACCTATCCTAACACTCCCAGCTCCCTACACATCATCCTATCCATGTTAGATGTATGTGTTTATATAAAATAGCTAACACGCTGATTATGAGATCCAGTTTAACAGAAGAGGCCATTACAGCGCGCTATTCGAGGCTATGACAGATCAGCTCCATATTATTTAGATAATTATCTTAAATCCGCTGGTACCTAATTTTCCCACTGAGAAGAGTCAGCTGTTAAACTCTTTGATTTGTGTCAGTTCAAACATCTTAGTAATGTTTCATGTTTATTTCAGTATGATGGGAATTCTACGATGCTCTTCTGATACACCTCTGACATGACCAGAATTGGCTACGAAGGGACCAAACTCTCTCCTGACAAAGTGAAATGTAAAATCTGCTATGAAAGCAAGTGGTTAGTTCTTATAATCTTTTTAATTTATCACAAGTTATTAGATATACAGTAGAGAGAGGGCAGGGATGGAGGAAGTTTAAGATCATGACTGTTCTTACAATGACAATATAAAAAGTGGTCACGTGAGGAGAAAGGAAAATCTGATTACGAAATCATGTATGTTTGCAATACCATTTACCACACATTGCTACTTTAACATTGCCTATATTTTTTTACTTACATGTTCGTGCCAGAAGCCTAAAGTATGTAACAGCTCGTGGACCGCTGTTCCAACCTCCCGCTCACACCCCCTGCCAAGACTAAGTTTCTGTTCTCCTCCCAGACGCCCGACACTGGACCAGCAACTTTAAGGAGAGATATATCTTTTTAATAACTAGGTCAAGGTCACTGATTTCATATGGGTCAAAGTTCACATTTATATAGAATCATGCCAAAACCAAACTGCTAACCTACACGTGCGTACCTACCCTGGTTCACTGATGATGCGAACGTAATCTTCATTGTCTTTTGTCTTTTTCTTGAATTGAATGCATGTTCGTTCACTGATGTGTTTCATAGCACGCTTGGCTGCTTTTCTAGCAAGGGGGTCTACAACACACACATATAAATATGAATCTACAAATAGATATGTAACAATGATGAATTCTTTCCATATTAATTGACGATTTCAAATTGAAATTCTCAAATTAGAATCATATTACCAAACAGGTCAATAAGTACGGAAGTATAATTTTTTAACGATGAGTTTAACAGTATCATTTTTTTTCCTCATAAACCACCATTTCCGGATACCAGAAACGCAGTGATTACTTCCGGTGTGGTTAGCAGGGCGATGCCAGGCGTGTCACGTCATCCGTTTTACTATAGTTCCACCCAGGAAACAACAAAGATGGCGGTGGTGATACGGGTGTACATTCCGTTTGTGAACAAAGCGTGAAATACACGTATATCAACATCGGTTTTATAGTCTGTATTTTCACGCCTAAATTATCAGCTTTTTGACAGACAACAGATTCGGCAGACAAGTATATGTATTGTTATCGTTTAATGTCGACACGCGCCTGTCGGTAAGTGATGTATAGACCGATTATAATGATATTTCTGTGAAAGTGTTGTGTCCTTAAAATTGTACGGACAGTACCTAATAGTACTTTTTCATGGGTCATTGGCTCGCTGTATTTAAGGGTCAATAAGTTGATAATACCTCATCGTCATTCAACCTTACCATTATATCCCAACCCACATCAAAATGTTGGACATCGCGTCACCCTAAAGGAAGTTACATTCTGTAAATAAGTAGCTTGTCCTTTTACAGTTTCCTACTTTAACAGTAGGGTGTCTTCAGATTAACATCACGTTGATTTCAACTTTAATACCACAAATAATATAATATTCAAGTATATAATACTGGATACAAATGAATGTTTGATTGTAAACGAGTTACCATTCATTTGAGGTATAGACAAAACCAAGAGCATCAGTGGAATAAAATCACTTACTTATTCCCCTGTCAAACAGGAAATAAACCACACCGTCCTTCCATAGATTATCACGGTTCCGGACCGTGGCTCGTTTCCTTCGTCGTCCTCCCGCCGAACCAAATATAATTTGTTCCGAGTACGGGTCAAGGACGATGTCGCCATTATAGAAAATACTCCCAGCTGAAAGTGAGATGAACCCGATATTAGTATGACAGACTGTTTTAAGTCCCGGGTAATGTTTTGTTATTCAACAAGTAAAGACGTTGTATTACAACAAACATATATACTTACCAGTACCTCTCGGACGTTTTGGTACATCTTCGCCACCTTCGTCAGACGAAAAACATAAAGATGGAGGACAAATATCTGTGAAAAGAACGAGAAGAAAAAACAATGTTTATTGTTTTCACGAGAAAGGCATGGACGCATTCGTATAAAATTAATCATCTATAGACCGGACACTGCAGAATTTTTAAATCTAAATACGTGTTATTTGTAAGAAATGTGATTCCTGGTCACAAAGGTACAGATGACACAGTGATCACGTCAGGGACTTTATGTCGATGTTAGATTAAGGTATTATGATGACATAATCACATTCTTAAACCACTTCCCGTTTCTATGAACTCAAAAATGAATCAGTCATGAGAAATATGACGTCAATAATGTAGATTTTTTGGACAGGTAAACCAACAATGTTGATTTTTTAAACAGGTAAACTCATCAATGTCGATTTTTTTGAACAGGTAAACCCATCAATGTTCTGAGCTGTACGTGTCATGAATCCACGTACCACCGAAACTATGGGGATGGTACAAAGAGGTTTCACTAAGGCAATACCTTCACACAATATCACGTGCACAGAATTTTCAAACAATACAAAAGAAAATCAATCTGCTTGGTTTTTTATTGTTCAGTGTGATATTTACATTTCAGTGTACATACTACATAGGCCGAGATCCTGGTGCGTCTGGGAATACCATTCTGTTAATATCATAGATTTATAAATCTCATGGGATTCTGTAAACCTATCATGTCACCAACATACCCCACCGACCTACACTGGAGTACACTTAAAACTCTATATTACTATTGGTAATATTTAACATTCGTGTCAAATTTTTGTTTGCATTTCGTATCAAAATGCCAAAGGTCAGAATAATTTGACCCGTCGTTTGACCACTTGACCAAACATTAGCCAGGACAATCTCGGATGCGTGTATACAGCGGGGATCGATATTGTAGAAGACAAACCGCCGTAATCGTGCCTGTGTCTTCATCATAACATGCTACAGAACATGGCAATGAAAATAAAAACCTATTACACACTAACGACCGATATTTTGAAGGAAATTCGACTTTCCATAGCTTATTACTGAAGCATTAATTGATGGAGTTTTCGGTTGTATGGAGGTGATTATGATAGTTTACCCTTATTAAGAAGTAATAAGTAGAGCTTATCATTATTTAGGGATTATCAGTAGAGCTTATCATTATTTAGGGATTATCAGTAGAGCTTATCATTATTTAGGGATTATCAGTAGAGCTTATCATTATTTAGAGGTAATCAGTAGAGCTTACCATTATTTAGAGGTAATCGGGAGAGCTTGCCGTTATTTAGAGGTAATCGGGAGAGCTTGCCGTTATTTAGAGGTAATCGGTAGAGCTTACCATTATTCAGAGGTAATCGGGAGAGCTTACCGTTATTTAGAGGTAATCGGGAGAGCTTACCATTATTTAGAGGTATTCGGGAGAGCTTACCGTTATTTAGAGGTAATCGGTAGAGCTTACCGTTATTTACAGGTAATCGGTAGAGCTTACCATTATTTAGAGGTAATCGGGAGAGCTTACCGTTATTTACAGGTAATCGGGAGAGCTTACCGTTATTTACAGGTAATCGGTAGAGCTTACCATTATTTAGAGGTATTCGGGAGAGCTTACCATTATTTAGAGGTATTCGGGAGAGCTTACCATTATTTAGAGGTAATCGGGAGAGCTTACCGTTATTTAGAGGTAATCGGGAGAGCTTACCGTTATTTAGAGGTATTCGGGAGAGCTTACCATTATTTTGAGGTATTCGGGAGAGCTTACCGTTATTTAGAGGTATTCGGGAGAGCTTACCATTATTTAGAGGTATTCGGGAGAGCTTACCATTATTTTGAGGTATTCGGGAGAGCTTACCATTATTTGAAGGTAAATCAGTGGAGCGTATCACTATTTAGAGGTAATAATTAGAGATTATCATCACATATTACTAACAGATTGTACGCAGATAGTAAGTAAACATTTTTATGATACAGCTGGTCAATGTGTGCACACATATATATAACTTATACATGGTGTTTACACTTATTATGTCCGGAGTGCTTATCCTTATGAATGGTTTATCAAAAGAAACTACCTTGATATGTAACAAAGAGAAAGATCAATAGAGAGTTAATTATTATATGTGACTTTTCAGTAGAATTTATCCTTTAAAGTACCGAAAAAATCAAACAAGAGAGCTTAGTTATCGAGAGAAATGACTCTAAATATGCTACAGTTATCAACTTGGTGTTAGGTTACATCCTGATTGATTAGTTTCCGTAGAAATTCTACACCGACCTATATACTGTTGAATTGTAGCATTATGACAGGTCTATCTGACATTGACAGTTACCAGATATTAACTATAGGCTAAGTTTACAACAAATCATGTTCGCCTAGTTTATTTTCTAAACACTCATCAACGAGTCATTGGAGCACGTCTCATTTATACCGAGGTAAGAGTCATGTAAAAATGTCCACCATACAAGGAACATTTTAAAGGAATATATCATTTAATGAAGTTAGCAGTGACTGGTGAAAGAAAAAAAAACCGTTCAAAGTAATTAAATGGATCATCCAAGCAATTGCTTTCAAACATTTCTCATTAACAAAATATCTCGAACAACAGAACCGTGATCAGTAAGCGGTGTCCAACAAAGTGAAAAATTTGGAAAATCCTAGATTTAGAATTGACAATAGCTTGCGAAACTAGATACATGTACTTTAACAGATAAAAGGGAACTTAAAAACTGGTAAAGTATATAGATCAGTATCAAATCCCTGGTAGTATACACATGTTACATGGTGACGAAAACTTTCACGCAATATGCAACAGTGTCTTATAACCTCTTCGTGTCATTTTGTATAAAGAAGAATTCTATCGGCACATCTAGACAGAAACTATCAATGAACGCACTCGTCTTTTATGAATATCCTATGCATAGTAGGGCAATTTTTTTCTTCATTACTCAGCAAAACCTACAGGTGCTCCGTATTCTATAACGAGTGTAGAAACTGGCTCTAATACACACTCAAATCCAATTACTACTATTTGAAAGGAAACTTCCTCGGGTGAATATTACGTCTACTTATGACAGTTGTGATAAGGTATGTGGCAAACCCATGAAATCCTGATAAAGATGGGACATTTGAAAGTCAAATAGTGCTTGTCTACAGATATAAAATGTTAAAGGATATTTCGTCAATATGATAGAGGTAATAGATAACGATTGCACATAGAAGTCATTACGATATATGGAACGTCAAGTATTACAATAATACTCATCAAGTATGAGTTTGATGCTACTTCCAAAATAACGGAGAATATTTCAATGAAGTACAGAGAGTAATGAGTATACATACTGCTGTTTAGCTGCCAGAAATCCCAGTGTTTGGACCGCCTCTGTCGTACATGCACAATTATCCTAGCTGTCGGTTTCTTATGGTCCAGTTCCGGAACGGCCAGTGGTGCTGTAGTTACCGGAAGTGACAACCAAAAGGCTATGTTCAAACATCCCCACACAATTATGTGCAAAACTGTTCTCTCGCCTTTACCAAACATCTTTCTGGCAGACTGGGTCAAGTTATTTTAATGTCGGAAGTTCAGCTTCTCTACTAATGAGTGTAACACGCGAGCTACTGCACTGGAGCAATACTGTGAGAATACTAACCTGAACCCTCTATAACAAATAATACCAGATATAGTTATATAATCCAACACACATCTACACTACACAGACTGTTTACATTATCAGCGATATTAAACCAAATAAAACCCCTAGTCTTAAAGTATTGTCTGTCCAGTCCTCTCCCTACTGTCACCTCGTTCCGTTTGAGTCGGAATGACGGATACGGTGAAACACGTGTGTTTATATAGACTGAACGACAGTACATAGAAAACTGGAGCAGCATTGTGTGAATTTCTTTACGTCATGTTTTCACCTATACATTTTTATGTTTATAAGAGATTACTGACGAGCTTTAATGACCAGTTTTATCATTGGGAGACAGTAAGTATATTCCAGGTCAAGAGTTCAAACGGGTTCGTGTAGGAGGCCTGGAGATATTGTCATTGGGTTGAAAAATAACAAGAGTTGTCAATCAACGATGACAGTGGCCACCCTTACAGAAGGTATGTCAGTATGTATCGGCCCTATTCACTAAAACTTGCGGGAAGAATGGTCCTGTTCTAATTGTGAAGCTTTATAATCCCCGGACAAGCTTTCAACATCCAAAAGGAAAAAATGGACTAAAATAAATATTAAACCTATTACATAGTCAACGTTCGACATATACACACGAACAGTGTCATGTCAGAATTCTGTCGGAGCACCATAATAACCTAATAATTTCCGTCGACGTTAGCGGAAGTTGTGACAAATTAAAATTGATTTTTAGAATATTTATCAATAACTGTAATGCCCAGTAACCGATGTCGAATGTCTCGGTTTATTTCGCTGTCCCGTAGAAAAGTGGACAATGTGTGGCCTACATTTACAGTAAACTTTCGGTACTCTGAATATCGTCACACATGGGAGGTATACTTTCGGTACTCTGAATATCGTCACACATGAGAGGTATACTTTCGGTACTCTGAATATCGTCACACATGAGAGGTATACTTTCGGTACTCTGAATATCGTCACACATTCTGACATAAACTCCCATAATATCAGACAAAGTCTCGCTTTAAAGTTTTCTTCTATAACATTAGAATTTAGCTTTGTTTCTGATAATTCTACATGACCTCCCACACACCCTTGTTTCCCGGAGGTCGTGTAGTCTATGCCAATACCTCAACTTTGGAACCACTGGTGTACATTGTAGTGTATGTATGGACAATAACAATGTCCACGGTCTTTTGATACTAATTAGGTATACCTCCCAAGATGGCGTGAGAAAGAGGAACCTATTTGTGACGTCATCGGACCATTTACGTTTGAAAACCATCATCTTCTCTGCTAAAGTAAACAAAACAATGTGAATATGTCTTGGGAAACTGTACCACACCCACTGTAGTAGATAACGCGCGACCTTCGTCAACTTCATTGATAAAGAGTTAAACGATTCCACGAGATGGCGTTAAACTTTTGTTTGTACTTTTCTATTACTATCTTCCTGTGTTTAATGTTGGAATGGAGGTTGAGAAGGCAGTTACTGGTTTTACTTTCTCTGATATTGACAGAGAGACAGATAATAAAGAATTAATAGGTCTGTTATTTACGGAATACCATTCTTTAATTAAATAACGTACACAAAATAATTAGCAGGAACCTAGCATCAGAAAATTGGGGTTCCGGATTATTGTGAACCTGAAATACATTGCTGTCTATAGTTCTTGTTCGACAGGACCAATGACCAAAACCTGTGATAACAATATCCATATGTAGCCTATTGACCAAACGAGTTTAAATAATGATAAGTTATGTTTACCTACAGAGGTAGGTACAAATAGTAATAAATCCCCTCCACACACACACACGCCTATAAACCCCATATACACGGAGGACACAGCATACCACATATCGACTATGTCTTATTACGGTCGGATGACCTTGACATTGGTCTAACGTCTACATTTGGTATATACAGAGAAGGTGTATAAAACATGTCTTACTCTGGCGAGGTTAATGAAAGTCAAGTGATGAGTTTCATAAATCTCATATAAAATGGAAACGGATACAAGATTCTGTTCATCACATTACTTATAAGTAGATATTTTTACAAACTTTCCTGAAAAGCCGTTTATAAGATTGATACTAAGGCTAAATTGGCGGTGTGTTGGGGTTTGTTCACTGATAACAGAGCAGTTACACGATATTTATATTTATTCATTAAATCATATAGGAATTTGTTTCATTTAATATACTGAGCAATACATATGAAAATCTATCAACGTATGCATTTTCATTGATTCAAACACAGTTGTGTTTCATTTTAACCTAAGGTTTCGGACAAAAGGAACTGGAATACTTGCCAAGAGAGAATGATGAATATTAACGAAAGGAAATAAGTAGGGTGTAATAACCCCTAGAGCTCTTTGACCAGGTGTTTAGATCAATGACCTTATCGAGTGATCAACTAATTTACACCTCACATGATATACACACCCGTCTTTCATCTGTCTTACATAATGCTCTTAAAATGTCATTGAAATCAGTTGGAAGTATCAACCCCCGGCTTTAAACCAATCTGTTACAAAACCTTAATTGTTACAAAACCTTAATTGTTACAAAACCTCAATTGTTACAAAATATATCTAGTCTAGAGGGAGTGAAGTTGTGTTATAGTGACGTTGTATCATCGGCCGTAGAACTGCGATATTAGGGAAGGATTGTAATACATCGAGCTGGGAAGAACATGTTTAACGAAAGTCTGGAGATCGCCTTTTCCAAACATATATTTGAATTCCTACATAAACAATAACTTATCAGCCTTGGACCACTTCTCTAAAGAGCATACAGCTACAGATGTTTAAATACAATAAATAAATGTAGATTGTAATAACGGCGTGTCATACACTGGACTTCACTAATACTTTTGTCATTGAGTTACAGAGTCGTACAATAGTTAGAAAAATTAAAATATAACATTATCGGCTTACATCAAACATCACTAATAATCACACAAGTGAATATCTTGATATATTCTTCAATCTATAGTAAACTATTATCCTACATTTCGAAATGAAATGGTTTTCACCATAACGTAAACTACAACTAATGCCTATTAAAATAGCCTAACATTTGGAAGTCCATCGGAAATGCATTCAATATGGGTATATTTAGTGTCGTGATAACCGTTTACTTCAGTTCAGTATTAGCTCATCAGTTATCTCACTTCCGTAACATACTTCTAACCACTGTTCTATACTGAAACTTCTACACCACTTAAGTCATTTTTGATCAGCCAACGAGATATCACTGTCCTTCCTACTGCTAACGACATGTTTGACTCAATGATCACGGTAAATATTTATTGTTGGAGAAAAAAAATGTGCGCAATTTGGTTAATGTTGTTGATGTAAAATATTCAGTAAGAAATTTATTTTTACTTTGCTATTATGTATTGTATTGTTCACAAATGTGCAACCCTTATATCTAACGTCCATGGGTGTCAAAAGAAATGGGCAAGCTTATTCGGAAAGGGAAGCACGCGCACAAGAGAGTCAAGCGTATCAGATACAATGCTCGTTGATTAACGACGAGTCCAAGCTTGTTGGTCCGGTGATTTTTTTGTGTGTCCTGTCGGACGTTGATGATACTAATTCTTACCTCCCTTGTATTGATGGAACTACCGACATTATTTCAACTGATAACAACTACAAATATTGCAGACGCTAAACATTTCAAAGCTATTGGTCCAGTGTTAGTGAACCCTCAGTTACTTAAGGGAGACATAAATACTCTATGTACACCCATAGGCAGTCTTTTATTATAAATCTCTCAATTTTAGTGTTTCGCAATAAATAGAAATTATTGGAAACTTTACATCAGTACATAAACTAGACAACAAGTATCTTTATCAATTGCAGACCAATTTCGTTAGATTTCACAGTTACGACTAAATTGATGTGGTGTTGTGTTTTAAAGTACAAGTATGTGCTAATTTCTCATATATTCATTCGCCCTTTCGCCCTTGTCATCTTATCAATAAGAGTTTAAGCTTGGTGGTACACCAATCAACTTCTTACTACCATCGGTACATTTACACGTGATAGAGTCCAAGAATCACAATTGGTCTTTCGCGATGTTAGTAAAACCTCCGATCGGGATTGGCACAAGGACTACAAACTTTCTATCTTCAGAATGGTCTTGAAAATGGAAATAAAAGCACATTTAAGATACTATTCATCACCTATAACTCTAAAAAAAAGTTTTAACTCGAAATATGGAGGACAAAATCAAATGGGGGCGACCATTATGTTGGGCAATTTTCGCTTTATGACATCACAATCGATTTCTGAGTGGCGGAGCTAATGACAAACACTCCAAGGGTCGAATTTACTGGATAACAGGGATTACTTAATAAATCATACAATATTCTGTTTATCACAAAACTTTATTTGTTACACCCCAACTTTTATGTGCTGAATCGTAGATTTGGACGATACGTGGTATTACAACAGTGTGTGTTTTATTGTTATTTTACTCATCATTCATCTTTTTTATGTATACGGAAACAGTTTCCGGTTCATATCACAAAGGAAATCTTATTTCTAAACTTCAATTTTGTAATACCCTGAAATCAATGGTTCTATAATAGGACCGTGACGACCCACTAATGTGGTCAGAAGTTTAAATGAAGCGTTCTCTCATATATAGCAGCTGATCTCATAATGACTCTTTAGGCGGGAATAAATGCGGAGTCGATGATTCAATGGCAACGAAACATTCCATTTCCGGAAATGAGGTTACCCGACTTCCGATCTATGGAATATTATCTATCATGTCTCATATAATGTTTCACGTCTATATCAGTGTTACTGAAGTATATACAACGAAGCTGAGAGTGTGAAAATCTCGAGTACAAAAGGCCATTTATGTTTCTTTATGGTTAAAT